ATGACCCATGATGTTACTTGCAAATATGTGCTCCATCATTTTGCAGATGATACTTGTGAGAGAGATTGGGCGATAATTCTCAGGATCTGTTTTATCTCCCTTCTTGTAGATGGGGACCACGTTCGCAAGGCGCCAATCATCTGGAACTTCACTGGTCCTGTATGAGACTTCAAAGATGGCACGCAGAGATGGAGCTACCACTCTTGAAAGCTTGTAGAGTACCAATGCTGGTATTCCATCTGGTCCCGGGGCTTTCCGGACTTTCAACTTCTTTAACATCTTAACAATGCCTTCGGTTGAGATGTGGATGTCTGGCATGGAGTCATACGGAGATGTTTCAGGAAGGAGATCAGCGGGAACATCAGTTTCATTGGTGAAAGCCATCTTGAATTGTTTGTTCAGTGCTTCAGCCTTGTCCTGGGGGTTAGTGATAGTATGCTCATCAGTTTTCAGAGTATGTATCCCACAGCGGTCAGTACGATTGTTCTTCACAAACTTCCAGAACCTCTTCATTCCCTCGTACTCATTGGGTCCATCAGCAGTGAAGATTGACTCCAGATGGCTCCAATATGCCTTTCTTGATTCTGCTTGGATGAGGTGTTTCAAATGCTGCAATTCTGTCTCAAGCGGGAAAGGGACCAGCATGTTCTGTTTCCTGAGCTTGCTTATGTAACCTATCTCTCTTATAGATTTCAATTTTTTCAATTTCATTTATTTCCACAGATTCATAAAAGACAGTGTAAATTACAATCAAATATAAAAGCATTACAACAAAAGATGAACCTGCAGAGGGGGTGATCAAAAACCACAGAGGTTTATTGGGGATCATCCCCTGCTTAAAATTACAATATAAAAATACAATAGTTTTTTTTTAATTAAACAATAACACATACATGTACAAAAACATATATAGATATTACATGCACATCTATGCGTGGGGTGAGTAGTAGTGGGTTGGTGGTACCAAGAAATACAATATAAAGAGGAAATGAATGATATACAGGAAAGAAATATTGAGAACAATAGAAAGAAACATTGAGAACAATAGAAAGAAACACCGTACAAACTATATCTTAAGAGTTGGATACGAGATCAAATATTGTTTCAACTTTGACTTGAAAGAATAAAGTGATGAGCAGCTGAAAATATCATTGGGAAGTAAATTCCATAGTGATGGTCCACTAAAATAAATGTTCCTTTGAATAAAAGTTGTTTTAACAGAGGGCAAATGAAATTTATTTGAACTTCTCGTTTCATAAGAGTGAATTTCAGCATTAACAATGAACATCTCATTAAAAATACATGGTAGCTGATTTTTCTTGAAAAGAAACATAAATTGAGCAAGTTGCATATAATATAGAGATTTCACATTCAAAATATTCAGGCGTTTATACAAGGGTGCAGTATGTGCAAGATAAGTAGAGTTTGTTATTGCACGAACAGCCTTTTTCTGTAAAATCTGCAAACGGTTCGTTAAGGTAATTAAACATCCACCCCAAGCTAAGACAGCATATGAAAAATGTATTGTATAAATTCATTAATATTTTTTTGGGGAGCAGTTTATTCACACTATAAATAACTTCCAGTACACTGGCAATTTTTGAAGATATGTAACTGACATGACTTTTCCAAGTAAGGTACTCATCTATGTAAACTCCTAAAAATTTATTTGAATTAACTCTGGTGAGTAACACATTATCAAATTTTACATTCAATTCATTAAAATCACCTCCAACCTTTCTTCTCCTGAATACAATATAATTAGTTTTATTCATATTAACAACAAGTTTATTAGCAGTGAACCATTTGCAAACTTTACTCAGTTCTTGGTTTAAAACCTCATTTAAATTTTGCACAGTTTTACCTGATAATAATATATTGGTGTCATCAGCAAATAAAACAAAATTAAGCTTGTCAGACACAAAGTGAAGATCATTTATAAACAACAAAAACAATAAAGGAGCAAGAACACTGCCTTGGGGTGCTCCTGTTGAAAGGATCTTGAAAGGATCTGTGACTGAGAACAAACATTATTAAATTTAACAAACTGTTTCCTATTCAAAAGGTAATTTTTGAACCATTTGAGAGGAGTTCCCCGTATGCCATAAAATGATAGCTTTTGTAACAAAATAGAATGGTTAATACAGTCGAACGCTTTAGATAAATCAAGGAATATACCAACTGGAATTAGCTTATTTTCCAATGCCTGAGTAACAAGATTTAAAAATTCAATTAGAGCCATGGATGTTGAGTGTTTTTCACGAAATCCAAATTGTTTAGCATATAAAATATCATTCTTATTCAAGTAGTTAATGAGACGTTTGTAGACCAATTTTTCTAATATTTTTGAAAAGATTGGCAAGATAGAAATAGGTCGATAATTTTCTATTTTTTCTTTACAAAGATTCTTATGAAGGGGTATTACTTTTGCTAACTTTAATTGATCTGGAAGTTGTCCTGAAATAAAAGACTCATTAAAAATATGACAAAGGTGTTTGGCATAAACATGTATAGTTTTCTTAACAATCTCTGGTTCAATATCATCATGTCCGGCACTTTTATTTGCTTTAAAACTACGAACAATCTCGACAATTTCTCCCTCAGTAATAGGTTTTAAGAAAAAAAGAATTGGAATAATTACCTTGTAAAAAACAATTAAAGTCATTTATGGAAGAGCATTGATTGCCTAGTGAGGTTCCAATAGAAACAAAATAGTCATTGAACAACTCTGTAATTCTTATATTGTCATAAATTTTGTCACCTTCATTTAAAATAAATTCAGGACGGACACCCTGGGGTTTCCTCATTATTATTTCATTAATGTACTTCCAAGTCTTTTGCATATTGCCTCTCACGGACTGAAACTTATTTAAATAATATTCTTTTTTAACATATCTTATATCTTTATTCAGCTTATTCCGAAATGTTTTAAAATTACGTTCTCTCTCTAGTGATGGTTTGGAAAGATATTTTTACACAATCTATTCTTCTTTTTACACCGTTTTTTAATTTCGTTAGTAATCCATAGTTTAACACTTTTCCTTTCCTTAATTGTAATCTTTTTAAGTGGAAAACAGGAATCATATATGTTTTTAAAAGCATTCATGAATAGATTATACTTCATATCAACATCAGATGTATTATACATATTTTGAAAATTCAAGGTACTGAAATTACTATTAAATAATTGAAAACCAGAGTCAGTTATATTGCGTTTATAAAATACTCTTTCGGAATTCACTGGTTTATTCCAAGAGAGAGTGGCAAATATAGGTAAATGGTCTGTTATATCAGTCAATAGAATACCAATTTTTAAAAATTTTCATGTACTGTATTTGAAAAAATATTATCTATAAGAGTTGCACTTTCCTTAGTAATTCTAGTCGGATTATAAATAATTGGGAAAAAACAATGAGATGCCATTAGTTCGGTAAAGTCATTTACATAAAGGCACACATCCATTTTCATTAAATCAATATTGTAATCGCCCATAAGATAACAGTCTTTATTTTCTTTTTGGAGGTTGGATAACACTGTATAGATATTATTGATGAACATTCCAACCGATTGATTAGGCGGTCTATACATAGCTCCGATTAAAATATTTTTGTCACTCTCTCTTGGAATTTCAATAAAGATCATCTCATATTGTTTGTTTACCACAGTAAGATCAGAACGATGAAAATATTTTTAATTATTGTGTATCAGAATTCCTACACCTCCTCCACGACCTTCAACTCTGCCACAGTTTACATAAGAATAATTTGGAGGAACAAATAATGAAAAATTTTCATCCTGATTTATCCAAGTTTCAGTTAGACCTATCACGTCAAATGTGACTGACAGAGAAGTTATGTAATCAAATATATTTTCATAATTCTTCCTTAGGCTACGACAGTTAAAATGTATAAATGTTAATGAAGTCTTTGAGTCAACTTCATTCATAAACTCATTGAATTGATCTTCTAGAAGGTATGGTGTACTATCCTCTTTGCAGAAATCAGATAAAGGCATTAGAAAAAGTACCACCCACTATACATGTATATTACAGCTATATAAATAATGGTTAAAAAATGTACCAACCACAAGAATAGGTTATGGCACACAAGATTGATACATGTACCATCACAACAACAATAATAAACAACACCCCACGGTATCTTCAACAGCTAAGAGAAAGAACAAAAAAAAATTACAAAAAATTACAAAAATTACAAAAAATTACAAAAATTACACACAACCAAGGAATTATAAAAAGGTCTTTATAAAAAAGATTAAAATATTTTACTTAAGTTAATAAAAAGTAAAGTCTCATTGACAAAGACTAGAATACATTAGATTAATACAACTATGTACACAATAACAAATATAAATCAGTATGAAAAATACAGCAAGTGAAATGTCATTGTCAGGAATCTTGACACTATCATAAACAGTGAAAAAAATAAACATATTACCGGCAAGTGAGGAAAGAGAACTACCACAGAAGTTTCGGGAGAGTGTTTAGAAAGATGAGTTTACGGATACCGCTAGTACCGCTAGTAATCCATGGCAAGTCTTGTTTCTGTTTGAGCATCTTGTGGGGGACGAATGTTTGAATACCCCCTTCAATTCCACTCTTGAAGAGTTGCCACAGGTCATGGACTGATGCACTGGATGACTTGCTACATATGTAGTCTGCCACATGTTGCATGAGTACTGCAAAGCCCTCCCAGTCTGCTTTCTTGTACATAAGAACTTTCCTCTTTGGCTGGTATCTTCCTGGGGGTGACATGTCTATATCAGCAACTGGACAGTTGTGATCCGAGATACCAGGCACTACCTTCACAGAGTTAACCAAGGTTGGATTGCTGATAAGTATCAAGTCAATAGTGTTCGCTTGTCGAGTAGGCTCTTTGACAAGTTGGGTAAGACCGTGATCTTACCCAACTTATTATGGTATTCCACAAGACTAACCACAAGAATAACCTTAATCTACAAGTCTTGACGAATATTTAAGTCCAAATTGTTGCCCTCTCAACAGGAACGGCTATGACTGATAATAATACCCCGCAGGACCTCAGTCTTTGAACTTAGACTTCCGCTTGTCGTGTCAAAATCGTGTGACGTATCTGAAAGAAGAAGAAAAGTCGGTGTTATTGCATTAAGTAATGAAATAGACATCATTTTTAAAGGACCAGAATGAATCACACAATGCCACATTACATGAAGACATGTCAAGGATACTTGATGGTTATTTGTTCCCTTTGTTGTTATCATTTCATCACATGTTTATCAATATCTTCTCATGCTGTCCCCTCGTTATGTACTTGCTTGTTCTTAACAGGTGTTGATTTTTGTCTATGTATCATCATGGTATAGTACACATGCATATCCAAAGGAAATAACGCTTTATCGCTATGCAAGGGTAACAGTGTACATGTGTAACCATGTGGAGGACATGATATGCTCAAAGTTTCCAGAAGCTTACACAGATCTTTGTAGCGAATCTAAAGGTAGGTGGTTTCCTCGCTCAATGTGTTCTCTCGGTGTTTTTGGCGAATACCGCCCTGCATCTTCGTTGGCATCTAATCTTTTCATTTGCCGCATCTGGTCTGTCATCACCATTCGTTTGTGGTAGGGGTAATGCAGATGTTGTCCTCCGTATCTGGGGGATGATGCTTTTGAACTGTTAAGTCTGTTGCTCGTTTCAGGCGAAGAAGAGGTTGCAACGTCATGCGAAAATGTCTGACCCTCTGAGTTGGAAGTCGGACCTTTGCTTCTGGATGTCCTGGGACTTGCACCATTCTCACCACTGGTCCTTGTGTAGTTGAGATACAAGGGATGGTTTCGTTGCTCGACTTTCTCCGATTCGTCAAACAAGTGGCCTCCGTTACGTTTCAGATACGGGTATTCTCTCTAAGTAAGAAAGCAAAGTTTGAGGAAAAATATGACTTGACCGAAGTGTACCGTGTGTAAATATATTTGAAAATGTCATTGTCTAAATCTTGTGTACGAAGCTACTGGATTACCACAACATTAGATTGATACATTTGGTATTTGTCGTAAACTCTAGTACATAGACTTGTGATACATGTTCAGACGGCGATATCTATTGAATCCTTTAATAATGTAAATCGTATTCATAGGAAATGAGTCAAATCACATAACTTTTTTTTCAATTTTAACTAAACTTCTGTGAAGTACGGCCAATTCATATTGATTGGTCATTCTAGATCTGGTTATTACACTGTTATAAATATCAATGTCAAATAAATTTGTAAACAGTCAAACACTGTCTATAAAAAGCCACTGAAGTGACTAGACAGGTCCTACAACGCATATTTCTTTCTTAAGGGAGACAAATTGCATGGCCACTGTAGACCAGCAGCCTTTGTAGAAAAATAGCCACCAAGACATGTTAGACCGAACTTGTGTATGAAAATGGTTAATATTTACATTGTGAGATTCGGCAATGGTCGAGTTGTAAACGCTTTTCTCCTCGTATGACTGCCTCCATTTGGTTCTAACGTAGGACCGTTTGCATACTATAGGTAAACACAGCATCATGAGCCCGAATACAATCCCAAAGACTATCCCGACAGCAATGTACACATAGTTTCTAGGTAAAGCAGCACCTGTAACAGAGAAAAAAAACGCAGTACAGTGTATTGCTTCCCCGTTTAGGGGAGTTGGCTCGATCGGTAAAGCGTGTGCCTGTTGAACGAAAGATCGTGGGTTCGAATCCACGTACCCTTCCCCTGTTTCATATACACAGGCTAAGAGCTGATATATCAGTCAGTTCATACCAATAATGAGAGGTGTGATACAAGGTTGTGTGTTGTCACCAGGGTCCTGTATTACAAAGAGTTGATATCAATCGCAACTATGTACATAAGAGATATGAGATTGCAAACTTGCGATTGATTGGAGGACTTACGATTGAATTTGATCAATCGCAACTCTTTGTAAGACGGGGCCCAGATCTCTTTAACATTAACAGTGAAAGATTATGAGATCGATCAAGGATCACAATGGTGTTAAGGTTGGAGGTCAAAATATAAACAACCTTCGCTATGCAGACGATACAGTTTTAGCAGCAGAATCCAAAGAAAATCTGCAGGTAATTTTAAAGTAATGTGGTAACAAAAAGTATGAATAAATGCTTGGATTTAAACAACGAGAAAAAGAGTGTATGATAATATCGAAAAAAGACCGAAAAACCCCCATGAAAAAAAAGTAAAGGGGAAACAATGAAGTAAACTTACAATCTCTAATTTATTTATGTAGCCTCTGTCCTTTTGTAAGCTCTTAATTTTCAAACACTTACACCCGTAGACAAAAACGAACCAGATTTATGACTTTAAGACAAGGATTTTGGTTTTCATGAAATCTTTTTTATTTTTCATTACGGATTCATTCTTATAAACCATCAGATGTTAAAATTATTCATGAAATAAAGAAAATAAATGGAATGGCAAAGGATACATTTAATTAGATGGAATCCCTATGAAAAATAAGTACCTTATTATGGAAACTAAAATCCGTAGACCATGGACAAATAAATAACGAATGTGTCAAGATACTTGTTTTAACGTATTTGCATTGGTATTTAATGAAACAAGAATAAGTGTGCAAAAACGTGACTTACCGGGATTAGCAGCTTCAGAATAATCTTAATGGATTCAAAAGAGAAAGAGAGAGAACTTGTAAACTTAGAGCTGTTAAATATAAATAGAAGTCACTGAAAACTTCATGAACTTGATATAACATCAAAACATCAAAACCTCCCTCTGTTCCAACGTGTACGGCACGGTAAGGGTTTATGAAGATTCGTACAATTTCTTAAAGGTTTGAACTGTTTCAATATATCTTGCTCTTGAAAAATATCAAATCACTACTAAGCAGATTACTGAGCTATTTCTCAGATGGTTTTGGGCATACATTATGCTGGTTCTTTGAATATTCTTAGCAAATTAAACGCTTAAAAATTCTATCCAGCCACCAGCATATTGGTCAATCATTCAACATGAATGAATAGATATAAATCATGAATTATTATTATTATTATTATTATTATTTATTCGACCATAAAAACACATTCAGCATGTACAGTGTATATAGGTGTATACAGAGTGAAATAGGAAAAATACAAAGTAAGATAAAGAAGGAATAGCATGTGGGTCAGGGTGCACAAAAGCGAAATTCTTCCCTGTTGCCCGGGGCATGTGCACCCTCACATGCCATTCCGAGACATAATAGAATATATTGCAAGGTTCACATTATATAAGTATACAAAATAATTACAAACAATCATTCAGAAAATCATGATTAAATTAAATTTCGATAAATGCATTAAGAGGATATGAAGCTGCAATGAATAGAGTGCTTTAAGATTTGTATGCAGAAAAAACTTAAAACTTAAAATAACCAGAACACAATTAACATAAATCGTCATTATTCAATTGATCCAACGATGTCTCATTCAAAGAAATTCTAATTAAAAAGAAAAAAGAAGAGATGTGTAATTGTTCAAGGTAAATCTGACCAGCAATTTCTTGTATATAACAAAAATATACATATGAATAGAGCGTAAATATTGTTTTGGGCTATACAATCAAGGAAATTATAAAACGTCATGTACCACAATAATGTACAATTTTTGCAGAAATTAAAGGTGCAATAAGCATTAGGATTGATAATCATTCACAAAATATTGAGTAGGGCCTATGGTGTTATCATTTAAGAAGAGTGGCATAATGTGGATATGAAGCTATCAATGTGGACCATTGTTCCAGGTTCAATTAATATAATCATTGTATCATTGAAAGAAAAGAAGAAAAAAAATTAAACAAGTAACATTCTGAATCCAGTGTTTCAATAAGTTCTTGGATATTGATAAACAATGATTATTAAAGAAAAGGAGGAATCCCCCACTCTCAGTGAGGAAGCCCCTCTCAGTTTGAAAATTAGTTAGAATCGAGAAGGGACCGCTTCATAGAGAGTAGAAAGGATGAAAGTGAGGAGACCACCGATGCATCCCTAACCTCTAACGGTAATTCATCCCATACCCGAGGAAATCTCCGGGAAGCGGACAGGAACAGGGCCTGTGTTCGTGATTGCTGATGAATGAAGGACAGTGTAAAGAGGCGTCTCTTGCTAATGGCTATGTTTTCTATTAGTGTTTCACAGTCACAACAAAAGTACAGACATTTGAAGGTAAATGAACATAAAAGATAATCTCTACGAGCTGACAAGGTAGACCAGTTGAGAACCCTTAACCTTTCTTCATACGGCATTTCTCCTCTTCTCTGTTTAAGAGCAACGCGCGTTGCTATACGTTGGATTCTTTCTAATTGTTGTGTTTGTTTTAGGGTATTGGGATGCCATGCAGGGATGCCATATTCAAGTATTGGCAGTACCAAGGCCTTGTAGAGGGCAAATATAGCAGAGGTGGACGAACCACGGGCTACAACTCTTATAATTCATTAAAAAAAAACGATTGCAACTACTTTCCAGAAATAAACTCATGGATAACTTCAATACCCTATTGCATTATTCACAGCAAACATTCGGATTGTGTAACGGATCATCATTATTATTGTAATGTAAGTACCTATCAAATGATGATAGACAAGGCTGTTGACATTTCTTTCAGTTTATATTTCGAAAGTCTTTGCGGGTCGTGTTATATTGTTTACTAACTTGGAAAACAGAAACGGCCCGGAAGTACATTGGGGAAGAGGTCACGATAGCCCGAGAAACATTCACATGTAAATCCACCTGCCATGTTGTGGTCCATGCAATTTGCGTTTGACGAACAATCATTTAGCTCGGGATCCGAACATTCGTCCATTACCACAACTGCAAATAATGTGATATTAATCAAGGTGATGATGATATTAATAATAATAATAATAACAATCAAAAATAAATAATGATAATAATAAGATTGATAACAATAGCAATACGTCAAACCGTATTAGCCCTTAACAATTCGACAGACTGGCCCAGATACCTGGAACTCTTTCCCTATTGAGATTCGAAATCTAAGTCGACAAACTCTTTTCAAAAAGCTGTTAAACGTATGCTATTAAGTTTGAATGAACATCTCTTGCTTCACTCTTCATCTTGTATTCATGATTGGAATTTCGTTAAACTGCTATCAGCCATGGCCTGGAATCATTAACCTTATTATCATACTGAAAGATGTTATTGTATTTAGAAACCAGGGTTCTATCCCTATTCCTATCTTTCATAATAGCCAACGTATGAAGCACCGTGTGCAGCGCTTTATAAGTACACGGAAGAGCGCTTTATCAAATAACTTTCGTTTTGGATAGGATTGCATCCTCCGCTAAAAGACCCGAATGTGTTAAATAAATCAATCATCAATATACATTATGAAAAGAAAATCGATCAGACCTTGTAACAGGGTTGCATTAGAATCCGCCAAGAAGGTGGTACTCCCTGAAGAATCGAATATCCCTCCATTACTTTCCAAGTGCTGCCGTATAAATACGCTCAGCTCATTGGCAAGTTCTTCCGGGTTAGAATCCGTCGCGACGAGGAGCTCGTATGTGAATATCAAGCTGCCATTCCTAATACTGGTTATTGTGACGTCATCAGGGATGACGTTAGCCATAGAAAAGGTAGACATTATCTAGGAATAGTATAAAAGAAAATTAAAAATGGATGTCAGGTAAGAGTTTTCAGTGGAATTTCAGGGCCAGATCAAGGGGCGCGCGTGGGAAGCGCACGCCCCCTTCCCCCTTTTTTCTTTTTGAAAAAAGCAGGAAAAAAACTAAATGCATAAATACTCAGTTTACGCATTCAGAACAGCCTCAGAATGTACCATATAGCACATTAGGATTCAAAATTGTTTGGACCACACGCAGTAAAGGCTACGCGCTTCGCGCTAGCAATTCCATACATTTACCCCCCCCCCCCCCCCTCTTTTGGAAAATCCTGGATCCGCCACTGATTTTGTTTGAATTTATTTTAGCTCACTGCTTAGAAAACTTGTGCATGCATGTAAGTAAGCAACCAGGGGACAAACGGCTTTACACCATATCCGAGGGATTTGGTACTGTCTAACCATGGACCTACATGGTCTAACCATCGACGTGGTTTCTAACCCAGACCTCCCAGTTACGAGACTACTTTTCAACCCCTGATTTCTCCCACTTGCTATAATGTGTTTTTTTTTATCTATAACATTTCATCTAATTGTTATTTTAACTGTCAAACGCGCGTCTGAAAAAATGTGTAAAAGGCTCGGTTAATATCAAACATAATACTGTATAATTTTTCCCATTCTGTATACATTTCCATGACTTGGTATTACCTGTTCTACTAATGGTGCAGCAATTTCCTGGAACTCTGAGCTACTCGTGTTTCCCAGTGCATCTGAATAAACGGCCTCGGAACCGTTGAAATTTAATACTCTAATCGTTCCTTCCATAATTACAGCATCTGATTGAGAAATAGGTACAGCAAGAAAATTAGCGAATATAGACCAAATATGGAAAGCTATTTTCTCCCCCCCCCCCTTTTTTTCCCCCTCTTTCTCTCCCTCTCTCTCTCTCTCTCTCTCTCTTGCTCTCTCACTCCCTCTGTGTCTCCCTTCTGTAATCACTATGCCATAGATGATATGAAATCTATCAGTATGTGCACAATTTGGGGCTACTATATTACATTTTTTCAAGAAAAACAGATATGGTATTATAGATGTAGTTCTGTTTTAGAGAGACACAGAGATGTAGCCACTAACGTGGCTATTGGCGTAGCTATGGGGCGCAGATCCCACCCAACCCCCAAACATTTCCCATATCCCCCCCCCCCCTAACTAGTGACATCTACCGATTAAGACGGGTGCCCCTTAATGTGTGGATCCAAGCCATGCCATGTATAGACTTGGCTATAAAAGCAAATGTATTCTAATTATCAAGTTGGGTGGTTTAAGAGAGATTAAATATATTACAAAAATCATATTTATCGTCCGTATCTTTAATTTAATGTAGAGGGGAGGAGACTCCGGAAATATTAACATTATTAGGAAGGGTAGATTTGATCGCAATGATACGTTTATTTTTTTCATCAAGTTCATCCAAGATTTTTATATTTTTATGTGATATTAGGAAATTTGTACTTTCGCTTTTATTATTATACACTTGTTAAGCACTTTAGCCCATCAAAGAACGTTTATTTTTCATGCAAAATTTGATTGTGACAAATTCACTTTTACGTTTTCCATAGTCTTTAGGTGGAATGGTGTCAAAAAGTCAAGTCTCTTATGGAATTTATTGCAACTCATTATGGCAGCTTCCGAATCGTTTGAAGTTCAATATGGACGCTTTTTAATCGCAATCTTACTGCCACTTGCCTGCGTCCCCCCCCCCCCCCGCCATCATTTTTCATAATATCGTACCTACCAAGGCACTGATTAGTGTCGGTATCTCTAGCCTTTCCTGGGGCGCAGTTACAGGTGGATATTCCGCTTTCGGTTTCGATAGTACATTTTTCAGTAGTAGCACAGCTACCTCCACATGGATCTAAAAATAACAAAATATGAATTGTATATCAACCGAGGGCTCTTCAATTTTAATTATAAGTTTAACAACCCCGCCCCATAACAATTACGCATTCATTATTCATTTAATCACCGACTGGACATTCAATGATACACAGTTGGAAGTATTCTTCTCAAGAGGGCAAACAAGAGGTATTCAGGAAGCACCTCCATCACTTTGGCTGTGATTATTCTCAAATGCTCAAAGTTAGACTCCTCCATGTTTACAAGATCTGTGGATATTTGGGGTCACTTTTACCTTGTGTTTTACTATGAACTGGTCAATTGAGGTGAATTAAGATCCGCTTTTAACATAAAACGTACCCGAGCAGATCCCTTGTGTTGTACGAGTACCCATGACACAGAGGCACGTCACATTAGCTCCGCAATACTCGCCCTCGCCACAGACCTGGGAACCACACGTCTCTATGAAAGGAAAGTACTGTGGATGCAGCTATTACATTTTCATCATCAGATTACTTATATCAAACATACTAGAGGATAACGATATTTCCATTCTTAATCCCACTACTACTGTGTGGGCTATTGTGAAAGAACCCATGCATTGTTTGAAAGATTTGGTAACCCAGAACTAAAACTCTTTTTTCAGGTATAATTTGCGGTAACTTTTTTCACCGAGTGCATTCACAAATACACAGAGAGAATTTCAAGCAAATTAATTCTTAAATTATTTTTTTCCCATGTAACCGGATGTTGTTCATCATCATCATCTCTAGGGCAATTATTTTTCATTAGCTTTTGATAATTCCCTTATCAAAATATCATGGGTTTGGCCTCTCATTGATGTTCTTCCTTGAAATCTTGCCAATGTGAGATTATCAACATCTCAAGGTAAAAATCAAAGCCTTAATTAACAAAATCATTGTTACCTAGGCACTGAGAAACATCACCTTCTTGTTGCCCAGAGCTGGTATATATAAAATATAATTGAGGGCCCAACATTGCTGTTCTTGTTAGAGATTTTGCCAAATGAGCTAGATTATCAACACCTCTTAAATCACAAACATCCATTCCAGACTGATTTTTACCTCGGCACTGAGGAACACCAGCCTCCAGTTGCCCTGAACTGGTACAGCTGATAATTGCCGGTTGGGTCACCTCGCCGCTTTCACACTCAAACTGGCACAGTGTATCCACAGCCACGCGACCTCCCGAAGGACACTGTGATGATGAGAGCATACTCGAATAGACTGGAATGCTGCACATCACTTCTGTCGTGGTGAGATGGTAAGTTGAAATTCGCAAAATGTTATTCGAACTCTTTTTTTAACATAGGATGGGTATGTAACATTTAAAAGCATTTAACCTTTATTATCGTAAATGTTTCGATGGGGGAAAGGAAAGCAACCTTTCGGTTCAGTGATGATCCTGTCTTTGTGTAAGATTATTAGGATTGTAAGGTGTGTATGATACACCCCAAGAAATACCTATACTTATTATATGGGGTGAGATTTTCTTCAATGTCGTAGCAATAAAACTCCCATTTTACATTTTTGTTCATACAGGCGACTTTTATTCAAATTTACACAACGAGCAAAGCTCTATCCGTTGATTTAATAGGTTTTATGTATGCTACTTCTGCTACTGCAATATGTTACTCAATCATTAAAATGTGATAACCATGCTTAATAGCCAGAACGATGATATTTTCAATCGTTACTTATGTAACTTTCAAATTTATGTCGGATATATTCTACCTCCACAAGTAAGGTCCCTGCCAGAAAAAGTTCCATCAGCGCGGCAAAAGCGTGCTGTATTCCCACTTTCCGGTACCCCAGAAGTACATGAGAATTCACAGGAAGTGCTGTATGTGACTCTTGACCCCTCTCTACAGGTTGTATTTACCGAAACGGCAGTCGTTGGAACCTCGCACATCACACCTACAAAAGTGATCATAGTGTTTTAAGAAATCGTGTACCTTCCACTCCAAAATTTGTTGGTGATCAATACTTAATCACTTTACAAAACAATTGGCAAACATGATAAGAAGATGTCTTCATGAGATTTATTCCAGTTACAAGTTCAAATACCCCTTCGTTGGTTCTTTGTAAGATCTAAATAGCACAGAAGTGTTTTTTTCAGAAACTGTCCTACTGTTTCATCAGGTATTATATAACGTTATAACATTTTGTTTGATTGTTGATCCATATATTTCAGTCTTTAATATATAAATCCAAACCCCTAGTGGCAAATACAAAATACGAATACAAATTTTCACATAGCAAAATCAACCAAACATACTTGTACAATTTGGCAAATCGGTGGATAAAGCTCCATTTTCTGTGCAAGACAACGAGGTGGATCCAAATAGATTATACCCAGTATCACAGGCGAAAGAACAAGTGGTGCTGTAGTCTGTGGCGGATCCCGCAGCACAGTGGTCTTCAACTGAACGAAGATGTGACGGGAAGTCGGTAGGTAGGGAACATGTAACAACTGCGATAAGGCAAAGATATACACAAATCATGTTTAAATACACATATAAATGAATAGGTGTACAATAATAAATATACATATACAAAGATGTATGAAGATATATATACATGAATCCAAACATCATTTGAAACTCTAATGAAAACTGCATATGTTGTGAATAGATATTGTGTGAACGGAGAAATATTCCAACTAGACTCAAAAGACTAGACTAAATGAATTCAATGCATCGTGTTAACAGGGTCTTTGGTAACTCTTGGGGAAATATAAACAATGCAAGAATAAAAGAGACAATAGTATTTGCGCAGCCATATTAAAGTACCCCGCTGCTATCCTCTATTTTTGGAAATTGTTGCAAAGGTTGAACAAATTTCTCAACCGGGACTCAAACCCGGGTCTGTGGCTTAGAACGCTGATGCCTCAGCAAATACATCCTTTAGATGTGTCAGTAGCTCTGGCAATACTAGATTTAATTATCACTTATAATCAACTTGCAGAAGAAAGCTATTTGATTTGAACACGGCAACTCTTTTGTTTTGTGCATCCGTTCATCAAAACTTTTAGCGAAATTGTAATTACCTGTGCAATTTGGAAGGTCCGTCGACAACGCTCCATTTTCTGTACAAGATATCGACGTAGAATCTGAAGTGTTGTATCCAATATCACAGGCAAACGAACATGTCGAATCATATTCTATTGTAGATCCAGATGTACAGTCATTGTTCAGTGAACTGAGATGTGACGGCAAGGCATCAGGAATGGAACACGTTACAACTATGAAACAAGAATTTAAAAATAAAAACATAAATATTGGATGTAACCACTTCCATCTTAGGTAAAGAAGAAAACTTAATGTTAGACCCCAAGGCAGCCTCAGCGAAGGTGACTGAGACATTAACTTAACTTTTTTTTTTTTTTCAAATAAATCTTTATTCAGATAAAATCATGGATAACATCGTAATACATAAATATTCATAACAAAGCACTTAATCACATGTCTAAATGAGGTCAAATCAAATTATATCTCTATTTACTTGATAGCAAATTTTAAATTAGTAATTGTCTTCTTCCACTTAATAATATTCAAATTCGTTGTCTTAGTTTTGTTTTCCTCTACTTCTATTTTGTATTTCAACATAAACAAAAAATATTTGCTTATTATTCTCGTTACTACATTTTTATTAAATTGATTTCCTACACTCGCTTTATAGATTGCAAATAAAGCATAATGAAGTATTAAATCAATATCTGTAACATTTTCTTTTGCGTCATGAAAACCATATACAACACAAATGGGTGAGAATTTGAAATCTTTACAGAAGGAGTTACATAATAATATTTCAATAACGTTCTAAAATCGGTAAATATTTTCGCATTCAAAAAATACATGTATAATAGTACCAGGTTTATAACAGTAATAACACAAATTGTTTTCTTTGATTTTCCATTCGAATAAATTAACAGGTGTTGGTAAAATATTATACATAAATTTAAATTTGAATTGTATCAAATAATTATCACGAGCATATTTTAATTTAAATAACCATAAAGAATCCCACTTAATAGTAAAATTTGTCTGTAAGGTTTTGTTCCGGAAGTCTACCGCCCTAGATGGTTTTTGGATTAATTTTATGAGTTCCGTATATTTTTTTTTCACAGTAATAGAGTGCATTGAAAATTCAAAACTATTCAAGTTCAAATTAGAGTATATAACTGATTTACGTTTGTAATCGTTGAAATCATAAACTTGTTCGCCATATTGTATGATTGGCCTCCATCTTTGTTGTATTGCGGTTCTTATTTTGGCATATCCACTCAACCATCTACCATCATAATAGATAAGTTTATCTTTCAGTTCTTTGACTGTCAAAAATCTATTTCCTATCACTATATCCCCTAAAAATAATATACCCGATTTTATCAAATTTTTATACAACAGTGCTTTTCCTTTAAATTTGATATCACAATTTAACCAAATCATTTCTTTTGTAACACTTCGATAGGTGTGGTGTATATCTTTTACATAATTAACTTGCTTTACCGTAAACCATGTACAAAGTAAGTCACAATAAAAATCAGGTATTTTCCCTCTGTAAAAAGTCACATATTTTGGTAAACATTTACAGTTCATAATAATATCAATCCCTCCCAGTTTTTCAATCCAATAGTCAAAAAAAATTATCCACTTCTCTTTCTTTTCTTGGAGTTCTTAAAGTTCGTAAAGACATAAATTGCGTACACATGTCAACCATATTCATGCCTCCATTTTGAAGAGTATTTATCATGTTTTCCTTTTTCACTTTTGCTCTATTACCCCATAAAAAATTATAAAATAACTTTTCATACGCTTTTATCCATTCCATAGGGCATGATAAAACTTGAGCTGTATAAATCAATTTTGAAATAACAAGGCTTTTTAAGATAATTACTTTCCCTTTAAATGTCAAGTTCCTCCGTTTCCAAGAATTTAAAAGCTGTTGTATTTTAATGAATCTTTCTTGAGACCAATTCATATTCACACTCAAAGATTTATTCTTACTGAAGTATATACCCAGAGATTTAACATAAGTATCACACCAACTGATATTTTTTATTGTCTCTGAAGGAGAAGTTTTGCCCAACCATATTGCTTTAGTTGTATTCGTATTTAAATGTATTCCTGATACCCTTTCAAAAATTGCAATCACATTTATTACCTTCCTTCCGGATTTAACGTCTTGTACAAAAATTGTCATATCATCAGCCAGTTGAGCTACCTTAATTTCTGTTTTGTGTCTTCCAATAGTAATACCTTTAATATTTACATTCTGTCTTATTTTGTTGCTTAAAACTTCGACACTCAGGATAAAAAGTAGGGCAGACAGGGGACAACCTTGCCTTATGCCTCTAGATGGTTTAATATTGCCAGTAAACCATCCATTTACTGTAACTGATAAGCTTGGATTTGAATATAACAATGCAATCCATTGCCGAAAGATTGCCTAAAACCATATAACTGCAAACACTTGTCAATGTATATCCATTCCAACGAGTCGAAAGCTTTTCTAAAATCTGTGAAAATAATTGCCCCATCTTTAGCCGTTAAATGATGGTAGTTAACCACGTCTTGAACTAGTCTAGCATTATAAATACCGCTTCTACCCTTTAAATAGCCTACTTGATCTTCATTAATATGTCTGCTAACACATTTTGTAATCTTTTGGTCAAAACCATCGCTAATATCTTGTAGTCTATATTTAAAAGGGTTATTGGTCTCCAATTTTCAGGTTCCTGTTTATCTCCACCTTTAAACAATAAAGTAATAACGCCTTTCCTTTGTGAATAACTTAAGTGTCCTTTCTCAAAAGACTCGTTCAAACTATGAAGAACCAGATCGTTTACTTCTGACCAAAATTCTTTATAAAATTCTACGCTTAAACCGTCGAACCCTGGTGCTTTATCAGGTTTCATACTTGTTATCGCTTCAGTAATCTCTTCCATTGTAACGAGCCCTTCGCATGCATCTGCTTCGTGTCTATTTAGACGTGGTATTTCTACTTCTGTCATGTATGAATCTATTAATTCTTCATTACACTCATTTGACCTATAGATTCTTGAGTAAAAATTCTCAATAAACTTTAAGATTTTGTCCTTGTCGTACTCCAACTTTCCCCCAATCCTCAAACAAGAGATTGATCGTTTTGCACCGTTTCTTGTTTCTAAGCCTAAAAAATATTTGGAATTACTTTCCCCTTCTACAAACAGAGTTACCCTTGCTCTAACTCTAGCATCATCACATAAATATTTGTAATACGCATTTAACTCTATTTTTACACTAGTCAACTCTTCTTCTCGTTTTCTTCCGTTGCATACTTGATCGTGCAATCTTTCAAATTTATTTTCTAACTCAAATAAAACTTTCCTTTCATTTAATTTAATTTTTTTTGCAAACATAATAGTATAAACACGAATCTTTAATTTACACATGTCCCACACAAACTGCGAACTAGTGTCAGACTCTGTCCTATGTTAAAATGTCACGTTCCGGATAACATTTCTAACACCAATTTTATATTCCTCATTCTTTAACAGGGAGTTGTTAAACTTCCAATACGATGGTCCTCTGGAGACGCCAGATATCATAATCTCTATGGTAATAGCACAATGATCTGGACACATAGATATAGGTTTTATACATGTGCGCTGTACAAATTCCTTAAAGGTACTTTGCATTATCCAAAACACAATTCTCGACGCCATTTTTAAATGAGTATTTCGATATGTAAATTGTTTTATATCTCTATGCATTTTTCTCCAAATATCAATCATACCATATTTTTTCAGTAACTTTATATATTCTTTAGGTTGTTTGTAAACTGTTCTACATCCGATAGTATCAAACGACGCATCGTCAACACAATTAAAGTCACCACCAATAATCAATGCATAGGAATCTAATTTGTCAACATTTCTTATACATCTAGATAGACGTTCATAAAACACATCTTTGTTCTTTTTTTCAGTTGGTGCATAGACATTAATCAACAACATTTTTCTCTCTCCTGCTTCTATTTCAACCACTATAACTCTACCGTCATTTGATAGGTGAATTAATCTGGTATGAAATGACACGTTCTTCTTTATGAGGATTACAACACCCCTGCTATGCTTCGTTCCAAACGAGTGAAAAGTTTTACCTCCCCATTCTTCATCAATTTTTTTTTTTATTTCTTCTGTCAAAAATGTTTCCTGTAATAAAATTACATTTGACTTTTGTCTAACAAGAAATTGAAACAACATATTTCTTTTTTGCTTATTTCTTAGCCCTCTCACATTCAGAGAAAAGAGATTTAAACAATTAACACCTTCGATCATTGATATAATATCTCAAAGTTGTTATAAACTGATTTGTAACCAGGCTTCTCCTTCGTTTCTTCGATTTTCTTCTGATGAGTATAGTTACCTGAACTATTTTTTGTTTGAACCCTTTCTTCTCCTTTTTCTTTCTTGTCGATCTTTACACTTCTTATCTTTGTCGCTCTCCGCATTTTCAACGCATGCCAATGATGGTATTAGGAGATACTACCTTAGATAGTGTGAGATAAATCTCCTCCCCTGTAGGCTGGTTCCGCTCCGCATTTGGGATGTCTGACTGACGCATGAACACGGGCTTCGAACCGGGGTCTCTCCGGGCTTGTATGTCGGCCGTCGTTTTCTCAGCATACGTGTTATTCACCTCCTTCCCTAATCCATCCCTATCTCTTCCATCGCTTCTCACCTGACTTTCAACGTCCGCTGGTTTTCCCATTTGTATATCCATCCTAATGATGAAGAACTGTTTTTCCAAGATAACGTTTCCGATAATGTGAAATTTTAGCTTCCAAACAGAGAGTTAATTTCTGCGATCGTAACCGTATGAAATAGCCCATTAATTATAGAAGACATAATCTTTTCCCTTTTTCATTAACTTAACATGATGTTTGAAACTTGATAACCATTACGTCATTCCTGAATCCAAGTACAGAAAGACAAATTTAAAAATTGTTGTTTAGGTCGAGACAAAACTTTTGTCTCTAAAATCAATTTTCATATTTCTAAGAGAAGGTTATGTTATTACCTTCACAGTTAGGGAGATCATCGGATAGAGCTCCACTTTCTGTACAAGATATCGACGTAGAATCGGAAGTACTGTATCCAGTATCACAGGCAAAGGAACATGTTGTACCATATTCTATTGTAGAACTGGATGTACAGCCATTGTTCAGTGAACTGAGATGTGACGGCAAGGCATCCGGAATGGAACACGTCACAACTATAAAACGAGAATGACAGAGTAAAAGCATTAGTATTGGATGTAACCACATTCATCTTTGGTAACTAAGGAACCTAAATGATGTTTGACACTTGAAACATGTTTGCCATCACGTCATTGTTGAATCCGAGCACAGGTTTTAAAAAATCTTGTTTTGGTCGAGGCTAAATTTTTATCTCTAATCTTTTTTAACATATTTCTAAGAAATGGTTATGTACTTACCTTCACAATTTGGCAGATCGGCGGATAGAGCTCCACTTTCCGTACAAGACATCGACATAGAATCTGAACTTCTGTATCCAGTATCACAGGCAAAGGAACATATTGTATTATATTCCACGATAGATCCAGACGAACATTCATTGTTCATCGGGATCACATGTGGCGGGAAGGCGTCAGGAATGGAACACGTCACAACTATGAAACAAGAATGACAAATCAAAACCATAAATATTGTGCGAGGACAATAATCTTACTTTAAATATACAATGTCCCTTTTGCAGCCAACTTCCAATTCTGTAGAACTTTGCAGGAATTATGAATATGTCATGTAAGTCCTATCTGTGAAAGTTAAACGTTATCAGTGTCCTAATATTCAAATTATACAAGGAAACGCGTTTACATGTTAGACTTCACTGTCAGACACTAGTGAGTGAGTGACTTGCTTTTTTTCTTCTTTGGTAATAACATACATAAAATGAACTGTTAAGGGTACATGAGCATTTGTCTACGTCAATAACCCACTTCTTGTAATGGCCAAAATTAAACTGATTGAATCTTTGCGTAGCATAAAACGTACGACCATTCGGTACAATGGTCTGAAAATAAGACTATTACTTACTGGCTCTATAGCTCATAAGTCGATTCGACAACTAATAGTCGTTATTTTCCCACTTAAAGAAATTTTCAAGCCCCCTTTTTTTTAAAGAAAGTTCTAAATTAGTATTATCTTTCAAATGCCGTTTGGATTTTACCTTTTCGGTTTTTTTGGCCTGCAAATGGGACATAGTACCTTTAAAGAAGAACTGAATATTGACACGATGTCCGAAACATCATGTTTTTCATCACGTCACTGCCCAATCTGTAGACAAAAGACCTCTGGGGAAAGCATATCTTAAAGCAGAAAAATCTATTAGGTCACAGCGAATATTTTTTTGTGTGAATGTAATTATCAAGACACGTAACGAATATATAAATTACCTGCACAGTTAGGGAGATCGGCGGATAGAGCTCCACTTTCTGTACAAGATATCGACGTAGAATCTGAAATAGTGTATCCAGTATCACAGACAAAGGAACATGTCGTACCGTACACAATGGTAGATCGAGAAGCACAGTCATTGTTCATTGAATTGAGATGAGACGGAAAGGCATCAGGAATGGAACACATCACAACTATAAAACAAAGGTTTAAAAATATTAAAACAAATATTGGATGTAACCACTTTCATCCAAGGAAAAGAAGAATCTTAGTTTTAGACCCAAGGCCACCGCAGCGAATGTGACTGAGACATTAAATTAACATGATGTTTGAAACTTGATTGCCATTACGTCATTCTTGAATCCGAGTGCAGAAAGAAAGATTTAGAATATCTTGTTTTGGTCGAGCCAATACATTTATCTCTAGAACCGACGAACGTATTTCTAAAAAATGGATATGTAGTTACCTGCACAGTTAGGGAGATCAGCGGATAGAGCTCCGCTTTCTGTACAAGATATCGACATAGAATCTGAACTTCTGTATCCAGTATCACAGGCAAAGGAACATATCGAATCATATTCTATTGTAGAACCGGATGTACAGTCATTGTTAATTGGGCTCACATATGGTGGGAAGGAATCAGGAATGGAACACGTCACAACTATGAAACAAGAATGACAAATAAAAAGCATAATCATTGTGCGAGCACAGTCATCGTAATCAAGAGAAAAACTGAATATTGACACGATGTCCGAAACGTCATGTTTTACATCACGTCACTGCTCCATTTGATGAAAGTAGACCTTTAGGGAAAGCATATCATATAGCAGAAGAAAGTGTTTTGGTCAGGGCGAATCCTTGTTTGGGGAATGTGATTATCAACTAGTAACAAATATGTAATTACCTGTGCAATTTGGAAGGTCTGTTGACAACGCTCCATTTTCTGTACAAGATATCGACGTAGAATCTGAACTTCTGTATCCAGTATCACAGGCAAAGGAACATATTGTATTATATTCCACGATAGATCCAGACGAACATTCATTGTTCATCGGGATCACATGTGGCGGGAAGTCGTCAGGAATGGAACACGTCACAACTACGGAACAAGCGTGAAAAAATTAAAGCATAATTAATGTGAGAGGACAGTCCTCTTACTTGTAAAAAAAAACCGAATTTGATCATGGTGTCTGGAACTAGATGTTTTACATCACGTCACTGCTTAATCTGAAAACAGTAGACCTTTGGAGAAAGCATATCACAAGGCAGAGGGAAGCTATTTGGTCACGTTGAATCTATAGTTTTGTGAATATCTAAACTGGAAAAGAATATGTAATCACCTGTGCAATTTGGAAGGTCTGTTGACAACGCTCCACTTTCTGTACAAGATATCGACGTAGAATCTGAAATGTTGTATCCAGTTTCACAGGCAAAGGAACATGTCGAATTATATTCTATTGTAGAACCGGATGTACAGTTTTTGTTCTGTGAACTGAGATGCGACGGCAAGGCATCAGGAATGGAACATGTTACAACTATGAAACAAGAATGAAATATTAAAAGCATAATTATTGTGTGAGCATAGTCATTTTACTTAAATTGAGAACTGAATATTAACATGATGTCCGAAACTTCATGTTTAACATCACGTCACTGCTGAAGCTGAGGACAGTAGATTTTTGAAGAAAGCATATCATATAGCAGAAAAAAAACTTCATGGTCACGGCGATTCTTTTGTTTGATGAATGTGATTATCAAAACTCGTAACAAAGATGTAATTACCTGTGCAATTTGGAAGACCTGTTGACAACGCTCCACTTTCTGTACAAGATATCGATGTAGAATCTAAGGTGTTGTATCCAGTATCACAGGAAAAGGAACAAGTTGAATTATATTCCATGGTAGATTCAGCTGCACAGTCATTGTTAATCGGGCTCACATGTAGCGGGAAGGCGTCAGGAAAGGAGCACGTCACAACTATGGAACAAGCGTGAACAAATTAAAGCATCAATATTGTGTGAGCACAGTCATCGTAATCAAGACAAGAACTGAATATTGACATGATGTCCAAAACGTCATGTTTCGCATCACGTCACTGCCCCATACGATAACGGACGACCCCTGGAGAAAGCGTATCATAAAGCAGAGGAAAGCTTTTTGGTCACGGTGAATCCTTTGTTTTGTGATTAATGAAACTCGTAGCGAAAATGTGATTACCTGTGCAATTTGGAAGGTCTGTCGACAACGTTCCACTTTCTGTACAAGATATCGACGTAGAATCTGAAGTGTTGTATCCAGTATCACAGGTAAAGAAAAACATGGTGACTATTGTTGTGAGTCTCCTGATCCTATTAGCTTCTATTGTGATAATGCCTACAATCACCTACACCAGAGAAGACCTTTTGTCTTTTCAACCCAAGTGTGCTGATCTCAGGATACCACTGAATACCTATCACATACTACAGGACTATGGCATATGTTCAGTGCAACCAACTCATCGTGGACATCGTGTACATCATTCTTCATGTCGTGTTTCTGACTTTAGAAACTTAATATCAGTAGTACCTACTAAACTCTCGGCAAAGATGTGTACATTGAACGCTAGATCAGTAAGGAATAAGACTACCGATATCGTTGAATTTGTACTTGATAATGATTTTGACATCCTCGCGTTGACCGAGACATGGTTGAAGGATGACGATGATGTTTATTTGGGAAACTGTATACCTGAGGGATATACCTTTAATCATAAGGATCGACAAGGAAAAGGAGGAGGTGGTGTCGGACTGTTGTTCAAATCTTCACTGTCGGTCAAGTCAGAAGCTGTACAACATTTCATGTCATTTGAAGCTTATCAAGCCCGAGTTTCATGCCAATCCCGTTCACTTATTCTCCTTGTCATTTATCGCCCAGATATAGTGGAAGAGCAAGGCCAGCGAATACCTTATAGTCTGTTCCTTGAAGAGTTTGCTACCCTACTTGACTCATTTGTTCTTGATCCCTCCGAAGTTGTCCTGACAGGGGACTTCAATGTATGGGTCGACGATTTCAATGACGTACGGGCAAGGCAGTTTATGAACATACTTTCATCCTACGGAATGAAGCAGCTTGTACGAGAAGGGACTCATCTACATGGCCATACACTTGATTTGCTTATTACTCGGGATTCAGCCACTCTTGTTTCTGATGTATCTGTTATCCTTGGAGTATCTGATCACCACGCTGTCCAGTGTAACCTTGATTTAAGAAAGCCGTCTACTTCTCGCAGGACTGTCACAACTCGCCCTCTACGATCAATGAACAGAGAACAATTCCGATCTGGAGTCCATGAATCTTTGTCAGAAATTGACATTGAGGATAGCAGCATCTCTTCGTCTGTCGAAAGATATGATCTCTCTCTCACTAGTCTTCTTGATAAGCTAGCACCTAAAAAGACTAGAAGTGTTATCATCAAACCTTCGAGTCCATGGATGACTGAGAAAATCCATGCTGCTAAGTGCCTTAGAAGACGCCTTGAGCGCAAGTGGAGGCGTACTAGAAGTGAAGAAGACCGCAAATCATATGTGACACAGCGTCAGGTTGTTTCCCAAGAAATTGAAAAGGCAAAAACTGAATACTATTCAGAGTGTGTTGCAGAATGCGAAGGAAACCAAAGACGTCTCTTCACTGTTGTAGACGCTCTGCTGCACCGAAAGAAGGAAACTGTTCTTCCGGATGCTTCTTCTGACCAAATACTGGCTGATAACTTTTGTCATTATTTCTTCAACAAGGTCACTAAGATCCGTGATGACATTGATGCCGAGCTTTCGTCAGGACAGTGTACAGCATTGTGAGTTATCATCTGTTCCAGTTTTGACAGATTTCGCTAAAACTTCTATTAGTGAGATCAAGAGGGTTGTCATGAATTCTCCAACATCATCATGTGAGTTAGATCCAATTCCTACTGCTCTTCTAAAAGAATGCATTGACGACTTTGCACCATATATTACAGACTTTGTTAATAAGTCTCTTCGATGTGCAAGCTTTCCAGCCTCAATGCAACAGGCTCTCGTGAAGCCTCTCTTGAAAAAACCGAATCTTGACAGACAAGACTTTGCAAGTTATCGACCTGTGGCAATCTAAGCTTCCTATCGAAGGTTATCGAACGTATAGTATCCGCTCGTCTTCAGTCCTTCTTGAATGACAATAACCTTCAAGACAACTTCCAATCAGCCTACAGAGAAAAACACAGTGTTGAAACTGCCCTCTTACGAGTGCAAAATGATATCCTCACCGAAATGGATAGTGGAAAAGTAACTGGGCTAATTCTGCTCGATCTGAGTAGTGCATTTGACACGGTCGACCATGTTATACTCCTAGAGAGAATTCAGTCTATGGGCATTGGTGGACAGGCTCACCAGTGGTTAACATCTTATCTCTCAAACAGATCGCAGAGGGTTTGTGTACGCAGTGCTGTCTCTAAGACAGTTCATCTTGGCTTCTCTGTGCCCCAGGGATCGGTACTTGGGCCACAACTCTTCAACATTTACACTCTTCCCCTTCATGATATCATCAAGAGGCATAATCTCAAGCACCATATGTATGCTGATGACACGCAGATATACTTTTCGTGTTCTCCCACACAAGGGGAAGTTGATGCCTGGATTGCTCGTGTTGAAGCCTGCATAAGTGACATTAGGAATGGGATGAAGGAGAATTACTTGAAGCTCAATGACGACAAATCTCAGTTTGTTATGCTGGGTTCCAAGCAGCAACTCGCCAAGTCGGTGACCCCCTATCTGAATATTGGTTCGTCATCAATTACTCCAGTGAAGAAAGTTCGAAATCTTGGAGTTATTTTTGACTCCAATATGACCATGGAGTCACAAGTATCATCAAGTGTTAAACTTGCGATCCACAGTCTCCGCAATCTTCGTGCTATTCGCAAGTATCTCACCACAAAGGCGGCTGAGCAGCTTGTGCATGCATTTGTTACATCCCGCATCGATTGTTGTAACTCTTTACTCTATGGCATCCCTATGTCTCAAGTTAAGCGGCTCCAGGTTGTTCAGAATGCTGCTGCCCGTCTCGTGACATATACACGCAAGTTCGCCCACATCACTCCAGTCCTTAAATCCCTGCATTGGCTTCCTGTTGAACATCGTCTCACCTACAAAATCATTCTGATCACATACCGTGCCTTGAAGTTCTCCTCGCCACAGTACATCTCTTCTCTACTTAACTTTCGCAAGCCTGGTCGTTCTGGTCTGCGTTCTGCCAATACATCAACTCTGATCATCCCTAAGACCAGACGATCATGGGGAGATCGAGCATTTGCCTCAGCAGCTCCCCGATTGTGGAACAGTCTCCCTAACACACTTAAGGACTGTAAATCAGTAGATAGTTTCAAGGCCAGCCTGAAAACTTATCTAATGGCCAACTTTAACTAATATCATCTTCTTCCTTTTTTATGTGTAATGTGTAATGTATTGTAAGTAAAATTGTATTTAAGTATATTATGTAGCTCGATCATTGTAAGCGCCTTGAGCACCCTCTGGGTGGATATGTCGCGCTATAAAAATGTCTTTATTATTATTATTATTATTAAAGAAACATGTCGAATTATAGTCTATTGTAGATCCAGATGCACAGTCATTGTTAATTGGGCTCACATATGGCGGGAAGGCGTCAGGAACGGAACACGTCACAACTACGGAACAAGCGTGAAAAAATTGAAGCATAATTATTGTGAGAGGACATTCCTCTTACTTGAAAAAAGAACGAATTTGAACATGGTGTCTGGAACTAGATGTTTTACATCACGTCACTGCCTAATCTGAAAACAGTAGACCTTTGGAGAAAGCATATCACAAGGCAGAGGGAAGCTATTTGGTCACGTTGAATCTATAGTTTTGTGAATATCTAAACTGGAAAAGAATATGTAATTACCTGTGCAATTTGGAAGGTCTGTTGACAACGCTCCACTTTCTGTACAAGATATCGACGTAGAATTTGAAATGTTGTATCCAGTTTCACAGGCAAAGGAACATGTCGAATTATATTCTATTGTAGAACCGGATGTACAGTTTTTGTTCTGTGAACTGAGATGCGACGGCAAGGCATCAGGAATGGAACATGTTACAACTATGAAACAAGAATGAAATATTAGAAGCATAATTATTGTGTGAGCACAGTCATTTTACTTAAATTGAAAACTGAATATTAACATGATGTCCGAAACTTCATGTTTAACATCACGTCACTGCTGAAGCTGAGGACAGTAGATTTTTGAAGAAAGCATATCATATAGCAGAAAAAAAACTTCATGGTCACGGCGATTCTTTTGTTTGATGAATGTGATTATCAAAACTCGTAACAAAGATGTAATTACCTGTGCAATTTGGAATACCTGTTGACAACGCTCCACTTTCTGTACAAGATATCGATGTAGAATCTAAGGTGTTGTATCCAGTATCACAGGAAAAGGAACAAGTTGAATTATATTCCATGGTAGATTCAGGTGCACAGTCATTGTTAATTGGGCTCACATGTAGCGGGAAGGCGTCAGGAAAGGAGCACGTCACAACTATGGAACAAGCGTGAACAAATTAAAGCATCAATATTGTGTGAGCACAGTCATCGTAATCAAGACAAGAACTGAATATTGACATGATGTCCAAAACGTCATGTTTCGCATCATGTCACTGCCCCATACGATAACGGACGACCCCTGGAGAAAGCGTATCATAAAGCAGAGGAAACCTTTTTGGTCACGGTGAATCCTTTGTTTTGTGATTAATGAAACTCGTAGCGAAAATGTGATTACCTGTGCAATTTGGAAGGTCTGTCGACAACGTTCCACTTTCTGTACAAGATATCGACGTAGAATCTGAAGTGTTGTATCCAGTATCACAAGTAAAGAAACATGTCGAATTATAGTCTATTGTAGATCCAGATGCACAGTCATTGTTAATTGGGCTCACATATGGCGGGAAGGCGTCAGGAATGGAACACGTCACAACTATGGAACAAGCGTGAAAAAAATTAAAGCATAATTATTGTGATTGGACAGTCCTCTTACTTAAAAAAGAACCGAATTTGAACATGGTGTCTGGAACTAGATGTTTTACATCACGTCACTGCCTAATCTGAAAACAGTAGACCTTTGGAGAAAGCATATCACAAGGCAGAAGGAAGCTATTTGGTCACGTTGAATCTATAGTTTTGTGAATATCTAAACTGGAAAAGAATATGTAATTACCTGTGCAATTTGGAAGGTCTGTTGACAACGCTCCACTTTCTGTACAAGATATCGACGTAGAATCTGAAATGTTGTATCCAGTTTCACAGTCAAAGGAACACGTCGAATCATATTCTATTGTAGAACCGGATGTACAGTTATTATTCTGTGAACTGAGATGCGACGGCAAGGCATCAGGAATGGAACATGTTACAACTATGAAACAAGAATGAAATATTAGAAGCATAATTATTGTGTGAGCACAGTCATTTTACTTAAATTGATAACTGAATATTAACATGATGTCCGAAACTTCATGTTTGACATCACGTCACTGCTGAAGCTGAGGACAGTAGATTTTTGGAGAAAGCATATCATATAGCAGAAAAAAGCTTCATGGTCAAGGCGAACCTTTTGTTTGGTTAATGTGGTTGTTAAAACTCGTAACAAATATGTAATTACCTGTGCAATTTGGAAGGTCTGTCGACAACGCTCCACTTTCTGTACAAGATATCGATGTAGAGTCTAAGGTGTTGTATCCAGTATCACAGGTAAAGGAACACGTCGAATTATAGTCTATTGTAGATCCAGGTGCACAGTCATTGTTAATTGGGCTCATATGTAGCGGGAAGGCGTCAGGAATGGAGCACGTCACAACTATGGAACAAGCGTGAACAAATTAAAGCATCAATATTGTGTGAGCACAGTCATCGTAATCAAGAGAAGAACTGAATATTGACATGATGTCCAAAACGTCATGTTTCGCATCACGTCACTGCCCCATACGATAACGGACGACCCCTGGAGAAAGCGTATCATAAAGCAGAGGAAAGCTTTTTGGTCACGGTGAATCCTTTGTTTTGTGATTAATGAAACTCGTAGCGAAAATGTGATTACCTGTGCAATTTGGAAGGTCTGTCGACAACGTTCCACTTTCTGTACAAGATATCGACGTAGAATCTGAAGTGTTGTATCCAGTATCACAAGTAAAGAAACATGTCGAATTATAGTCTATTGTAGATCCAGATGCACAGTCATTGTTAATTGGGCTCACATATGGCGGGAAGGCGTCAGGAATGGAACACGTCACAACTATGGAACAAGCGTGAAAAAAATTAAAGCATAATTATTGTGAGTGGACAGTCCTCTTACTTAAAAAAGAACCGAATTCGAACATGGTGTCTGGAACTAGATGTTTTACATCACGTCACTGCCTAATCTGAAAACAGTAGACCTTTGGAGAAAGCATATCACAAGGCAGAAGGAAGCTATTTGGTCACGTTGAATCTATAGTTTTGTGAATATCTAAACTGGAAAAGAATATGTAATTACCTGTGCAATTTGGAAGGTCTGTTGACAACGCTCCACTTTCTGTACAAGATATCGACGTAGAATCTGAAATGTTGTATCCAGTTTCACAGTCAAAGGAACACGTCGAATCATATTCTATTGTAGAACCGGATGTACAGTTATTATTCTGTGAACTGAGATGCGACGGCAAGGCATCAGGAATGGAACATGTTACAACTATGAAACAAGAATGAAATATAAGAAGCATAATTATTGTGTGAGCACAGTCATTTTACTTAAATTGATAACTGAATATTAACATGATGTCCGAAACTTCATGTTTGACATCACGTCACTGCTGAAGCTGAGGACATTAGATTTTTGGAGAAAGCATATCATATAGCAGAAAAAAGCTTTATGGTCAAGGCGAACCTTTTGTTTGGTTAATGTGGTTGTTAAAACTCGTAACAAATATGTAATTACCTGTGCAATTTGGAAGGTCTGTCGACAACGCTCCACTTTCTGTACAAGATATCGACGTAGAGTCTAAGGTGTTGTATCCAGTATCACAGGTAAAGGAACACGTCGAATTATAGTCTATTGTAGATCCAGATGCACAGTCATTGTTAATTGGGCTCATATGTGGCGGGAAGGCATCAGGAATGGAGCACGTCACAACTATGGAACAAGCGTGAACAAATTAAAGCATCAATATTGTGTGAGCACAGTCATCGTAATCAAGAGAAGAACTAAATATTGACATGATGTCCAAAACGTCATGTTTCGCATCACGTCACTGCCCCATACGATAACGGAAGACCCCTGGAGAAAGCGTATCATAAAGCAGAGGAAAGCTTTTTGGTCACGGTGAATCCTTTGTTTTGTGATTAATGAAACTCGTAGCGAAAATGTAATTACCTGTGCAATTTGGAAGGTCCGTCGACAACGATCCACTTTCTGTACAAGATATCGACGTAGAATCTGAAGTGTTGTATCCAATATCACAGGCAAAGGAACATGTCGAATCATATTCTATTGTAGAACCGGATGTACAGTCATTGTTAATTGGGCTCACATATGGCGGGAAGGAATCAGGAATGGAACACGTCACAACTATGAAACAAGAATGACAAATACAAAGCATAATTATTGTGCGAGCACAGTCATCGTAATCAAGAGAAGAACTGAATATTGACACGATGTCCGAAACGTCATGTTTTACATCACGTCACTGCTCCATTTGATGACAGAAGACCTCTGGAGAAATCGTATCTGATAGCAGAAGAAAGTGTTTTGGTCATGGTTAATCTTTGTTTGGTGAATGTGATTATCAATTGGTAACAAATATGTAATTACCTGTGCATTTTGGAAGGTCTGTCGACAACGTTCCACTTTCTGTACAAGATATCGACGTGGAATCTGAAGTGTTGTATCCAGTATCACAGGCAAAGGAACACGTCGAATTATATTCCACAGTAGATCCAGATGCACACTCATTGTTAATTGGGCTCACATGTGATGGGAAGACATCGGGAATGGAACAATTCACAACTACACGAAAGGAAAACAAATTTTGGAAATGAACGGTCGATATTGACTAGTTAGTTGACACGAACAAATAAACGTGGAAATACATGTAACACAAACTCAGTAGATTCCACATTATGCAGAATATTATTGCAATCTTTAATATCTTTGTATGATCTGATAGATATACGAATGTAAAAAGCTGCAATGATATGCCCAATGTCACAGGCAAAACAGCAAGTAGTGTTGTACTCTATGGAGGATCCATGCCGGCATGTATCTGCAGTGGAAGTGAGCTGATATGAGATGGGAGGACATGTGGAACAGAACATGTGACAGCTTTAAAACGAGATCGTCGAAAACGAAAAGTAAAATTTATTAAAAATTTCGATTATTCTAGGGGTAGATTTTATTGTTATTTTTGATGAAACAATTGAAAATTACATGAGAGCTACAAGAGTAGTTAGACCAACCTTTGTAAATAATTTAGAAATGTATGTGAGGAAATTAGAGTTGTATGACGTATAGACGAAAATAATCCGGATTTTCAAGCAGTACACGTTTAGGAAAAAGACGCCACATGAATTAGCCTTCCAATTTGTGAGAGGTTAATCTTTTGGAGCTTACAACATTGAGGGTGATATGATACATTCATGATTTCATGGTTTATTAAACCAAATTGTTATGCATGAGTGAACAGGAATTGCATTGTTTTTTTTTATTGTAGCATTGTAACTTTCCCTGGTAGACTCAGTGGTGTGTTCATGGGAGTCAGGATGGGGTGATGGTACATGTTGTAATTTCCATGTTACAAACTGTTATTTTTTACAGCTGTGTCTTTGAATAAAAACCTTCACCTCACATATCAATTATTGTAAGATTAGTTAAACATCTCATTGATTTACTTAACACCCAGGTAGGGATTATGTAAATTGAATATTCAAATACGGTTTGTTGAAAAAAAAAAGGAATGTCCAAGATGTCGGTTTATTATACTTATTCTTCAGGTAAATTGTAACTGAAATGTGGTTTTTATTCAAAGTCACAGATGTAAACAAACACAACAAAAAAGTTTGTAACATGGAAATTACAACATGTACCATCACCCCATCCTGACTTCCATGAACACAACACTAAGTCTACCAGGGAAAGTTACAATGCTACAATAAAAAATGCAATTCCTATTCACTCTTGCATAAAAATTTGGTTTAATAAACCAAGAAATTCACTCAGCAAATCATGAATGTATCATATCACCCTCAATTGTGTAAGCTCCAAAAGATTAACCTCTCACAAATTGGAAGGCTAATTCCTGCGCAACCTAATTGTCATACCCTTTACAAAAGGTAGCAGTGCTTGCCCAGGCATGAATTGTATTTGGACTTTTTGGTGTCATATGAAAGTTGAGTTTATGAGCTTTTCATACATATAACACTTTTCCCCCAGAACCATATATTTTTTATTTGGCAGCCATTTCAAAAGTGTATAGTTTTTTTGGGGGACGCACTGTATTGTATCAAGGTTATAACGAAGAAGTTTATAATGAAGGGAGATTACGGATGGCTAATGTTGACATGGTTGTAAAAGCCCAACGTGTAATATGGGTTGAAAGATTATTGTATGGAGAAAAATCAATGAGATGGAGGCTATACTTTGATTTCTTCTTCAAGATGGTAGGAGGCAGATTTATTTTCTTGTGTTACTTTGATTCCAAGTTATTAAGTTTCAAAGTATCTAAGTTTTATTTTGAAATGATAAAAGCATGGGACGAGTTTATAGAGGTTGTAGGATTGTTGAAGAAAAGGAAAAGCCAAATACTCATGTCAATAAAAGATTCTTATTAAACACGAAAATGATTTTTGATGAGGATTTGTTTACACGCAATATAATTTCAGTTCAAGATATCTTGCTACAAATGGCGTGCGTTCAATATTTCATTTTCAACATGACGGGGTAAAAACAAGGAAACAAAATTGTTGATGTATGGAATATTGGGGGAGCTATTTTAAGAAGCGGGAAAAAGGAAAACTGGAAATTAGTGGATATAAAAGAGTATGCTATTTTAATACAGTTTAATAGTTCTGTGAAGCCGTTTATATATTTATTATCGAGGAAGGTTAATGAATTTGATTATAGAGAAGTTACAAAATGTATTTGTTTTGAAGATTCACGATGGACGGGGATTTTCTGATTTTTCAAATGAGGTATATAGGGAGATATTTAGTAGGCATAGGAAAGTTACTCTTGTTAACAAACAATATAAACTGCTTCATGGAGTAATATATACTAGAGAACATTTATTGAGATTCGGCTTTTATTTAAAGATAACTTGTGCTCATTTTTTAAGCAAAAGATTGAAACATAGTTACACTTGTTCTGGGAGTGTGTACATGTTCAAAGGTTATGGTAGAATGTTATAGCTAAATTTGAGCTTAGGGAATAAAGGTCTGTCGATTCCCACGAGTAAAGACATTTAATATCATT